AATGTAAGAGATAACAGAAAGACCTAAAAAGTAAGCTAGCAGAACTCAGAAAAGAATCATAAGAGAAAAAAAACTCTTCTGTTCTCTTAAAATAACAACAAGGAAATTCAAAGAATCAAACAGAAAATAAAATGAAGAGAAAATGTGTTGAATGCGGTTGGCATTGAAGACTGGTAATGAAGATTCTAAAAAATAAATGTTTTCCATGAAAAAGTATTTCTTAAAAAATAAACAAAACATTGAAAGATGACACTCTTTTCTTAAAAATAATGACAAGGAATAAACCAATTCATGGCATATTCTAAGTAAGCTACTGAATGTCAAGGTCAAAGAAAAAATACTACGTGTACAAAAGCAGGAAAAGTAATAAGTACCCCAGAGTTAATTTAGAGGAAATGAAAGATACTATAAATCCTAAGGCATAATGAAGAAAAGTATGAGAAACCCCAGTTGCTATGCTGGAATACGAATAGAAGCAGAGGTGCGGAGGCTTGTAGACTGAAGAAAACAGCCAGTGGGACTGTTTGGGTCACCTTGTGTTTCTCCACTCCCTTTCCTGGGACACTCAATGCCTGCCACCTCACAACACGAACTGGCAGCCATGTTGGGGCAAAGACATGTCCTCTGGCCTAAGAACAAGGTAGCACGGAAGCTCTGCTGGAGACAGGAGTCAAAGGAAATAGTAAGGGACTGACTGATCTCTGGCAGTGAATTCCCAATCACTCTTACTCAAAACCTCCGAGATTGGTAGGTTACCATCTAGATAAAAGTCTGTTCTTCCAAAGCTTTTCTCCCTGAAGGGCTCAGTGTGAAACTTTTATCTGTTGAGTTCTTTGAGGATTCCAAGAATGATATGATTAGCTATGACTTCTTCTTTTTTGAGATAGAGTCTCACTATGTCGCCCTCGGTAGGGTGCCATGACATCACAGCTCACAGCAACCTCAAACTCCTGGGCTTAAGCAATTTTCTTGCCTCAGCCTCCCAAGTAGCTGGGACTACAGGCGACTGCCACAATGCCTGGCTAGCTATGACTTTTTTCAATATGGGACTTCAATAAATCAAAATGCTCAAGTAGGGTGGTATAAACTAGTCCAAATACATAAAAGATAAGAAGGAATAAAAAGCAACTCAATTGGCGAAATAAGAGACACACAAGACCGGATTAAAAAAACAAAATCCAGTCAAACTCTGCCTATTAAAAATATACTTAAAGCATGAGGATATAGTAAAGTTCAAAGTAAACATAGAAAATTATGCCTATCAAGAATATACTAACTACAGGAAATATATAACTATATAAAGATAAAGTAAATTTAAGACAAATATGCCTTACTTAGGATGGAGAAAGTCAATATGTATTGCAAAATTTGCCAGGAAGGTATAACAACTCTCCGTATATATGAATCTAATTAAATAGTCCCAAAGTATTTAAAACAGTAAGTATTAAACTAATAAAACACATGGAAAAATTGATTGTGTGAAAACCCCACACTGTACTCCAGAAGTGCATTAATGTACATAGTTACCATTCAATAAAAAAAAAAAGAAAAAGAAATTCTTTAAAATGGGGAAGAGAAGCATATATGAGAAATTTAGCAAAGTGCCTGAAGGTAACTCTGACACTCTGACATGCTACTTTTTGAGAACTTCAGATATAGCGTATTTCTTTTTAATCAGCTTTGCTGTCTTTACTCATTTTACTAGTCACAATACACCAAGCTATTCTGCAATTAAAAAAAAAAAAAAGAAAGAAAAATTGATAAAACCACTGTTATGGTAAGTGTAATTATGATAGTCTTGGTGAACCAAAAAACAAACAAAAAGTCACAAAGAATATACAAGATTTGAACACAATGAAATTGCTTTAAAAGATATATGGAGAATCATGTAGCCAACAATTAAAGAATATACATTTATTTATTTAAGACCACTTAGAACATCTAAAAAAGAATCATAATTTAGAAAATAAA